GCACAGGCCAGGAAAACAGGATGAGCTCCAGAGGGGGGAAGGAAATCCCGGAATCACAGATTCTTCCAGGCTGGAAAAGCCTCCAAGAGCATCAAGTCCAACCAGCATTGTCCCCTGTCCCCAAGTGCCACATCCACATGGATTTCACATCCCTGCAGGGCTGGGGACTGCACCCCTGCCCAGGTCAGCTCTTCCAGTGGCTGACCCCCCTCTCCATGGATAAACCCCTCCTCATATCCCACCTATCCCAGATGAGATTCCCAGGGCACCATCTCTGCCCCCTCATCCTGGGGCTCGTGGGATTCCCAGGGAACCCAGCACACCCCTCCCAAACCCTCCTGAGTGACCCTGCAGGGAAATCAGGAGTTCCACGACCCCGCTGGGATGTCACACACTCCAAGAACCACTCTGCTCCCAGGGATTTGAGATGGGGTTAGGAAGTCAAAATACAGATCAGTCAAGTATCATTTTACACCTCCCCTCAATCCCAGGAAGTGTCCAAGCCCAGCCTGGCTGGAGGAATTCCTATAGGGACTATTGGAGGAATTCCTATAGGGACTACTGGAGGAATTCCTATAGGGACTACTGGAGGAATTCCTATAGGGACTATTGGAGGAATTCCTATAGGGACTACTGCAGGAATTCCTATAGGGACTATTGGAGGAATTCCTATAGGGACTACTGCAGGAATTCCTATAGGGACTACTGGAGGAATTCCTATAGGGACTATTGGAGGAATTCCTATAGGGACTATTGGAGGAATTCCTATAGGGACTACTGGAGGAATTCCTATAGGGACTACTGGAGGAATTCCTATAGGGACTATTGGAGGAATTCCTATAGGGACTACTGGAGGAATTCCTATAGGGACTACTGGAGGAATTCCTATAGGGACTATTGTGCTATTCTAGCCCACAATTTGTCAAAGAAAAGACCTTGAGTGACTCCTTTGCTCCAAGAAATGAGGGAGGAAAGCTTAGGAATTCTCAGGGTCATTTGAGTTCTTTACAATCCTAAAAATCTATAAAAAAAATTAATAATTTATAATTAATATTGCAGCAAACAGGGCTTTGCACTGATTTGTTACTGTTGGGGCTCTGGGTTTGGTTTCTCTCTGGTGTGGTTTGAGCTCACCAGGAAAAATAAAGCAATATTAAACAGAGTGCACTGGGATTTCCCATTTCACACAGTTCTGCAAGGAAAAGAACCTCCTATGGGGAAAAAAAAAGCCATTTCAGAAGGATATCTGAGAGCACCTGGGCGTGCAACACCTGCACAGGTGAGCTGGGAACTAAGACAGGAACAGTGAGCCAGGAATTCCCCCCATCCCTGTTCCCTGCCAGCTGGGAACAGTGTCCAGGCCTGGCAATACCTGGGAAGAGGGGCTGGATTGTTCTCCCTGCTGCAGTCATTGGGGGTTTGATTTTTTTTCCTTCCCCCTTGCTTTTTGTTCCTTCTATTTGCCTTTTGTTTCCTCTTTTTTTCTCCTATTTTTTTTCTTTCCATTTTCCCTTTTCCTCCTTTTTTTATTTAATTTTCCTTTTATTTTCTCTTTTTTATTTCCCCTTTTATTTTTTCCTTCCCCATTTTCCCTTTCTATTG